TCTATGCCTAATATCACATCAAAATCAACCATACAAATAAACAGAAAGTCCACTCGGGTCTCCAAACCCCCAATAGTCACCACACACGACCGATATACACGGTCCACAACAATAGTATCACCCACCGGAGTAGATACACGAAAAGATGAAATAAGAGACTCACAGGGCGTATCCAAATAACGAGCAAAATATGATGACACGTATGAAAAAGTGGAACCAGGGTCAAATAATACAGAGGCATCCCTTTGGCTGACTGAGACAATACCTGTAATCACCGCATCTAAAGCAATAGCATCTAGTCTGGTTGGGAGTGCATAGAAATGGGCCTGACCACCACCTGATCGACCTCCCCCTCTGGGGCGACCCCTGGCTGACTATCCTCCACCCCTAGCTGACAAGGTGGGTGGTGAAGTAACTGGTGCTGAAGCCGATGGCTGACTCCTCTACTGAGGAGGACCCCCATGACGATGAGGACACTGCCTCCACATATGCCCTAACTCTCCACACTCATAACAACCCCCTAGTGCTGGAGATGGGGACTGAAGGGAACCCTTAGCACCGGGATGGCTAGCAGAAGAACCTGGCATGGAAGAGCCCTTAATTGATGGAGCACGGGACGAACTCTAGGCTGGAAGGGCACTAAGTGATGAATGGAACTAATGAGAACTGTGAGAATCATGGCCCAATGATGACCACGGTAAACTGGGTGAGCTGACTGAGCATGTCTGAATGGATGGCCTCTGCCGTGCTGAAACTGACCCCATGAGGAACACCACTTAATCCACCCTGACCACAAGGCCTCTTGGCCTCCCTCTCAACCCTCTCCTGACCATGAACCATCTCAATCTGTCGAGCTATGTCAACAATCTCGTCAAAAGTTGCACCAAACACCCACTCTCTGGTCATAAGCAACCAAAGATGAAAATCGAGGCCATCTATAAACCTTATGATCCTCTCTCGGTCTGTGGGAACCAGCCAGACCGCATAACAAGCCAACTCAAAAAACCGCATCTCATACTGTGTAACAGACCTATCACCCTGATGAAGCTACTCGAACTTCCTGTGTAGCTCCTCCTGGTGAGACTCAGGTAAAAACTTCTCCAGAAAGAGAATGGAGAATTGCTACCAAGAAAGGGGTGTTGCGCCAACTAGCCTACGCCTTTCGTAAGCCTCCCACCAACTAAGTGCAGCCCCAAGAACTGGAAAGTAGTGAATGAGACCCCACTGGTCTCCAAAATACTTGCGGTCCGAAGCATCCTCTGACACTTATCCGAGAAACCCTATGCATCCTCACCCTCAGCATCACTAAATGACGGAGGCTGGAGTCTACCAAACCTCTCCAATCTGCATTACTCGTCCTATGGCATAACAAGAGCTACATAGTCCTGAGCAGCTGCAACCGGCTAGGCTGGAGGTGCCCCCGGTGTCTGAAGTCCCTGTACGATCTACTCAGGTGTGCGAGCAGCAGGAGTCTGAGTGTCTCCCCTAGCCTGAGAAGTAGTTGCGGTTGTAGTAACTGAGATCGCTTGAGCCAGGCCAGTGCACACTGATAGAATCTAGGCTAGGGCCTCCTAAAAGCCTGGGATAATAATATGCACAACTGGTGCCTGAGTTAGTCCTGATGGAGCGTCCACAACTGGGACCTGATCATGAACTAGGGGCGGCAGGTGGATCTACAGGTGCTGCCCTAGCTGCTGTGTGGGCTACACCCTTGCCCCTACCACAGCCTCGACCGCGTCCTCAGCCTCTAGTGGTCCCAACTGGTGGTACTGGTGGTCGTCTGTCTTGGCTGATATCACTTGTCCTCACCATCTGTGAGAGAATAAAATAACAGAAGTTTAGTTACCAGAATTCACATATTCGCACGATAAGAATTCAAGAATGTGAAGTTTTTTTCCTAAAGGTTTTGCAGCCTCTCGAAGATAAGTACAGACGTCTACGTAATAATCTGCAAGACTCTAATAAACTCGCTCATGACTCGCGAGACATATGTAACCTAGGCTCTGATACCTACTTGTCACGACCCCAAAACTGACCCGATCGTGATGGCGCCTATTATGAAACTAGGTCAGCCGACACAATCTTAAACCAAACCAATATTTCATAATAAAGGCATTTTAAGCTGTTAATTCATAAAAATTTCATAACATTAGTATTAATAACAAGTGCGGAAAGAAACATAAGCGCGACATCGGAGTGTCACAAGTCACGAGCATCTACTAAGGCCTGTCTGAATACAACTAAAACTATCACAGTCTAGAAAACACTAATATAGTCTAAGGAAGATAAGAGGGAGAAGAGCAAGGTTGTGGATACCATGCAGCTTTCTTGCCGACTCCGAATATCCGCGATGGATGAAAGATCAGCGCTCGATATCACGTCCAGCAACTCCTGGATCTGCACCACAAGGTGTAGGGAGTAATGTGAGTACGTCAACTCAGTAAGTAATAAAAGTAAATAAAGATTGAGCAGTAAGAAATACATAACTCCAAGTTATAACATCACTGTAAGTACAGTATGTTTTCAAAACAGTTTATATATCAAATCATCTTGTTAAAACCCAATTTCAGTAAAAATCTTTTGAAAATGTCTTTCTATCAATTTCAACAGAGGTTCAATGAAGTTTAGAGTAAAAATGATGAAAATCATAAATAGCCCCTCGGCCAAAACATAAATCATAAATCGCCCCTCAGGCATAACATCACTCAGAATTAGCCCCTCGGACAACCTTACAATCGCTCATAATCAGCCCTTCAGGCACAACATGAATCAAGAACAGCCCCTTGGGCAACATCATATCACTCACATAGGTTACCCGCGCTCACTAGGGGAGTACCGACTCAAGAGGGGCTCCTAAAGATGAAGCGCTATGACAAGCCATCTCGTGGCATAATAAATCAGGCACTCGGCCGCTCATATATCACAAAACAGTAAAGCATGTTGCGGCGCACAGCCGATCCCATGATATCCTCACAACACAGGCCCTTGGCCTTACTCGGTTAGAAATATCTCAAGCCACTCGAGCTAACAGTAAAACAGGGTTCTCAGTCCAAAATATCATTTTATACATCAAAACGGAGTAAATAAGACTAAGCTATGAAATCAGTAAAATATAGCATGACTGAGTAAAGATATTAAATCCAAAAAAAAGTGAGGAAATAATAATAATAATCCCCTAAGAGTCCAAACAGCTTAGCACGAGGCCCAACTATGGCATCCAGCCCACAATATAGTAATACTTTCTAAAATGCATAAGTATCAAATAGTTTCCAATAAAATACGCAACTTAATAGTTGTTACGGGACTGACCAAGTCACAATCCCCAATGGTGCACGCTCTCACGCTCGTCATCTAGCATGTGCGTCATCGCAAAATAGTGAAACGATGTGAAATCCAAGGTTTCATACCCTCAGGACAAGATTTACAATCATTACTTACCTCAAATCGGACAAAACTCTAACCCTCGATGCCCTTGCCTCTCGACTCGGCCTCCAAGTGCTCTGAATCTAACCAAAATCAGTATATTATCATCAATATACGCTAAAGGGATGAATTCCATACGAAAATAATCAAACTAGACCAAATATTCCGAATTGGACTCAAACCCGGCCCCCAAGCCCACGTCTCGGAATCCAACAAAAATTGCAAAACTAGAAACTCCTTTCATCCCGAGTCTATACATACCAAAATCATCAAAATCGGATCTCAAATGGCCCCTCAAATCCCCAATCAAAGCTCTCCAAAACTCAAGCCCTAACCCTTCGACTTTACCCCAAATTCCCACTAAATTCCATTATTTAACAGTGGAAAAATCATCACAATTAATAAAGCCCAAGTAGCTTACCTCACTGATACCCCTTGATTGCCTCTTGAAATCATAGCTCTAAGCCCCAAACTCGTCCAAAAATAGTGAAGAATGGGCTGAAATTTGTGAAGAAGATCTTATATACTTTCTGCCAGGATTTCTGCACCTGTGGTCCTAGTCTCGCACCTGCGCAACCACTTCTGTGGTCCAAATAACTGCATCTGCGGTTTCCACTTAAACGCCCAGGACCGCATATGCTCCCCAAGCACCGCACCTGCGGTGTCGCAAATTCATCCAACACACCGCTTTGGTGGTTCTTCTCCTGATGGCCAAATTATCCACCTGCGATCTACATATCACATCTGCGACCTCGCACCTGCGGTCCCCAATCCGCAGGTGCAGAAATGACAGAAGCAGCAATTTCAGGAGCATCAACTCAATGCCAATCTTCCCGTCAACCACCCAAATTTATCCCGAGGCCCTCGGGACCTCAACCAAACATGTTAACAAGTCACATATCACCATTCAAACTTATTCCAACCTTCGAAACACTCAAAACAACATCAAAATACCAAATCACCCTCGGATTCAAGCCTAAGGATTTCCAAATTCCGCAAACGATGCCAAAACCTATCAAACCTCATCCGAATGACCTGAAATTTTGCACACACGTCAAAAATGACACAAAGGACCTACTCCAATTTCCGGAATTCCATTCTGACCCCGATATCAAGATTTCCACTGCCAATCGGAAAATGCCAAATTTATAGTTTCGCCAATTCAAGCCTAAATCTACCACGGACCTCCAAATTATATTCCGAATATGCTCCTAAGTTCAAAATCGCCTAACAAAGCTATCTGAACTATCAGAATTCATATCCGAGATCTTCTACACATAAGTCAACATCCGATTGACTTTTCCAACTTAAGCTTCCAAATAAGAGACTAAGTGTCTCATTCCACTCTAAGATCACTCTGAACATAACACAACCAACACGATATGATGAAATACAGTTGAAAAATATACAAGGAAGTAAAAATGGGGGAAATAGAATTGTAACTCATGAAACGACTAGCCGGGTCGTTACACGTTATATAGTAGCAGCAACCCATCCGAATCTTCCTCCATAAAAGTAATGTCATCTTCAGCAACTTTCTGGAGTCTCTTGATGTGGGTCATTGATGCCTTCATCTTTTATGCCGCAAAAAATATAACCCCGTCAATCTCATTCCCTCCGAAAATCATGTTGATCATCTGGCGCAGGGCATCTTCTCCTGTTTTTATAGGCTCCACATTGTCGCGATTGCGATCGTAGTTGTTTTTAGCCCAGTCACTTATGAATTCCCTGATATGGCCATTTTTCAACGATGGCTCCACCTCGTCACGCAGATTTCGGCAGTCCCCAGTCCGGTGACCGTTTGTCTCATGGTATTCACACCACAAGTTAGGATCCTTTTGGATGGGATTTGACCTCATTGTCTTCGGGAACCTTGCTTTTTTAATGTTCCTCATAGCCGATACCAGCTCCACTACACTAACGTTAAAGTTGTATTTGGAAAGCCTGGGGTAGGATATATCTCGAGAAGCTGATGGTTTCTTGTCCCGTAACGACCTGTTAGTTCGGCAACGATCAACTCTCCTATCGATAGAGAATCTATTCGCCGATCGGAAGCCTCTTCCACGTCCTTTAGCCCGTTCATAGGGCAAAAACTGACTCCTTGAAGATCGTCAATCTATGTAGAAATAGTATTTCGATTTCTCTTTATTCTTCTCCTAGTCCCGAACTTAACCGATGCCGGGTAATCGAGCTGGTCAATTTCAATCCTTATCGTTAATTCATACCGATTGTGAACATCTTCCCAAGTTGTTGCCTGGAACTCGAGAAAACTTTCTTTCAATTTTTGGGAAGCGATGGAGCTTCTCGGATTCAGTCCTTTGGTGAACACTTTAGACGCCCATTCATCCGGTACGACCAGTAACAATATCCTTTCCTTCTGGAATCTGGTTACAAACTCTCGGACCAGCTCGGACTCTCCTTGTGCAATCCTGAATATATCAGTCTTTCGGGCATGTACCTTTTTGGCCCCAGCATAGGCCTTGATGAAAGAATCTGCGAGCATCTCAAAAGAGTCTATGGAATACTTGGGCAAAAGCAAATACCATGTCAAGTCTCCTTTCATAAGAGTCTCCCCGAATTTCTTTAGCAAAACTGAATTAATCTCGTGGGGAGCCAAATCGTTCCCTTTCACCGATGTTGTATAGGTGGTGATATGCTCCTAAGGATCAGAAGTCTTATCTTACTTTGGCACGTCTGGCCTTGTGAACCATTTTAGGATCAATTCCGGTTTCGCGCTTGGTTTGTACGTTAATTGTGTGTACGTCATTGAGTCTGACCCTTTCAGCACTGGTGGGGCGCTAAAAATTTGATCTATTCGGGCATTTACTTCCCTCATAAACCGTATGATTTTGATTTTAAGGGGATCAATCTCGTTGTTGTGACTCGGTCTGATCCCCCCCCCCC